AGGGGGAGCTGGGGGAGCCTCTCCTGGGGGGTCTGGCTGGAGGGGGAGCTGGGGGAGGAGAGCCCCAAATGGGGGGGTCTGGATGCGAGGGGAGCTGGGGGAGGGGATCCCCTCTGGGGGGGGGTTGGTTACAGGGGAGCTCCTCTTGGGGCGGGGTCTGGCTACAGGAGTGGGATGTGGACTTTAAAGTATAAGGGGACCCCCCTGTTGGTTGGGATCTGCCTGAAGGGGGAGCTGAGCATGGTGCGTGAGGTGTTTTCCGGGGGCTTCCCTTTCAGTTGGGGCTGACTGAGAATTTTGTGTAGGAGGTGGGATCCTGACCCCACAGGGCTGCTGAGGTGAGGTGAAATTGCCCCTTAAACCTGTGGGAGTGAGGGTTCCCCCTCACCCATTTGCCAGCTGCTTCCGTGGCCAAGGTCAGGGCTGCAGAAGGTGGTGGTGTTTGCACTTTGACAATGTTGTGTCCCAAAGTCACAGGGGTCTGTACTCTGCCAAGGCTGAACCTTGACATCTAGTGCTTCCCATCACGATACCACATCAGAATAATTGTCTTCTCACCTCATCGGTGCTGTGTAGTATCATCCTGCACTGATGCAGAATTGAGGTGGGATGCAGGACATGGCTGCAAAGTACTATGGGGACCCATGAAATATACGAAGGGTAGTAGCTTTGCATGGTAGGCGTAGTGCAGTGCTTTGTTGCACCCCAAATCTAATAATCACCTCACTTTCTCCCTGTGTAAATTTAAGAGGAACATTGGGGAGGCACGGAGGCGAAATACTTGGAATATGTTAAAAACTGTAATTATTTAGGTATTGATACTCCAGATTAGGCCAGTGCTCGTGGACAGTTTGTTAACAGTTTTCTGATGAGAAACTGCATTTTTGTTTGCTTGAAAAATATTGCTGAAACATCTATTTGAGTAAAACACCATGCGAATAGTTTTAACCCTCTAATAAAACCATCCTTTCTAGTCAGACGTGCATGGACATAACATTCTCCCCATCTTCTTTCTCTGTTCTTGCCATAAAGTCAAATCCAAATCCTGCTTTTGAGGCTCCTTGGGGACCTTTATGCCTGCTTGCAAGAATGGAGCAGACTGGCACAGAGAGGATGGAAACATAATGTGCATGTACCTACAATTCGAAACACAAGAGGCAAGTCAAATTCTTGCCTAGCCTACAAACCTTCAAAGCAATTAAGGCAAACAAACAAAAATAAACAAAAACATGAAACAGAATTAAAAATCAAAACAAACAAACCAGAAAGTTACTACAGCAGAAGAGTGCTGGTTCAGGCAGTAGTGCTAGGAACTCCAGCAATTTGTTGTATATCTGGGTGCTGTGCATGTATACAACACAAACCTATGTATTTCTAAATAGACAGTAGTACGCACTTCCAAAAAGTTAAACTACCATTTTGGCAATATCTCTGAGACACAAAATAATCTAATTTTTCATTTAATCTATTTTGAAGTTTAAAAATGAATTCTAGAGATAATTATTAAACTAGTATTTATAGAAAGCAAGTTTCATAAATGTTGAGTTGCGCTGTTATCTACATACATACAGCACTGATTTCTGATAAATATGGGTATTAAGGTACTAGAACCTCAGCTGATGTACGTCGGCATAGCTTTTTCACTGACATCAGTGGACCTAACAGTGTTCTATACCAGCTGAGACGCGGTCTCTCCATTCTTATAATTAAAGCTACTTACTGAAATTCAGAGGTGGATACTGAAGAGGGGTGTTGTTTTTATTAAAAATATAGGACCGTATTCTGTCAGCCTTAAACCGAGTTGCAACTTTTAAAGTAAGGCCCCTGCCCTGGAAGCTACTGTGCTTGGAAGGACCTCTGTGTATGCACAAAGCAATTAGCAGGATCAGGACATAAGGGGCTATTCAACATGTGACGGGATCTGGCCCATTGAAAAATTCCTACTCATTCCTTTGATGAATAGGACTTATCATAACTGAGGGTCTGATCCTGCAAACAAACACTTATGCACATGCTTAACTCTACAGCTGAGCATGGCTCCATTGATTTCAATGCGACTGCTCATGATAGTAAAGTTAGGTATGTGCGTAAGTGGTTGCAGGATCCTGATCCTGCAGTGAGTCCGTGGGAGTGGACCTTTGCCCAGTGCTGAGATCCATTGCATATGGTGGGAATATTGTGCAGTCCACCCCATGTAGAACTCTCAGCCCTGTTGGGGCCTAATGAACAAACACCCCCATCTTGTTCCTCAGGCAGTCCTTAGAAGAGGAAAATCTTCAGATAAAATTGTCACAAAGCTCTAGAGATTCAAAGATGAAAATTTGTTATATTCCTTCCCCCCCCCCCAAAAGTTCACAAAATGTTTTGGTTTAGAAATGGAATGTAGTTTTCAATGTTAGAAGCATAAGGTGCCAATAATAATTTTTTAAAAATAAGGGCTCCCATACAGTAAAATAAATAGTATTATATCAAGAAAAATCTTTCAGTAATATTTCACTTAGTACAGCAATTAAGGCCATTGATAACTCTTGAAGGGACTCTAATACATTACAGAGTTGGTGTTGAAATCAAGTCAGTTTTCCTTTTCCGTTCAACTCTGAGTCAGCGGAGTGCTATGTTTAGACATCTGATATAAAAGTATATATCGAACTGATACAAAAAGTAAAATAAGTTCTGGTATTTTATGTACATTCTTTTCTTTAAATCTTTTGGTTGGTTATTTTTTATTACCCATAAGAGGGCTGGGACTGATGTGAAAACTGAAATCTATACTTTATAAACGGTGCCAGTTTTTCATAAAGAGGTAACTCAACTTGAATAAGCGCACTAGCAATAATGTTTCTATTATATTGTTCAGTTTAAAATCCTACTAGCCTGGCAAAATACAAAATGTTGAGAAGATCCAAGGTCTGGATGTGTTTAGGTTTGGCACACATTGGTACATGAAAAGAGTTTAAGCCATTGTGCCCTAAAAGTCCCTGAACTGTAGAGGTGTACAGTTTTAAAAACAAACCAATCCTTTGACTTAAATGTAGTTTTAAAAAGCTTATTCTCCACAGACCCACATCCTGCAAACCTTGTGTTTACTGCACATAATCATCTCACTTTTTTAATTGGATGATTTTATATGTGATTCTTCCATGGCATTATTATTATTTATAACAAAGAATGTCCTCATCCATAGGGATTTCTGTGGCGATTGACTGAATGCAAAGATTCCAAAGAACTGCATTTACCAAATAAACAGAAGTGATATGGTTCGTAAAACATGAATGAAAACTGATGTGTGTGTGTGTGAGCTTACTTGCTGAAGATTCTCTCGAGTCAGTTTAGGAGGTCCCTTTCATTTAAAATCAATAATAGAACCTGTGGAAGTTTGTGGAAGGCATTTAGCTTGTTTGAATGTGATGAATGTGACATTTCTATTCAAACAGTTGACTACTTGACAATACATTCTACCTTTTTTATATGGTGCAACACAGACCTCAGAGAAAAGCGTTTTTTGTGTGTTTTGTATGGTAACTTTCTGTTGTTGTTACTACTGTCTGTTTGCTCAGCAGAATGTATTGTGCTCTTGGCTAGTTTTTCTACATAACATTTATTTATTTATTTTAAAAAATAAAATTACAGCATCCTCTACTTAGTTAGGGCATGATTAACTCAGAGCAAACCTGTTTAGCCTAATGATAGTGAATGTCAATGCTTCTTGGTTAATTGGGATAGAATTATTATACGTTTCACTTAATAGGGAAGCATTTGGTTGGTGGGAAGCTCTAAACTTCAGTCTGCTAGTGTAGAACTTGTCAAATAAACATTAAAAGAACAAAATTAAGATGAAGTGCAATGAATATTATTTTATTCTTTCATTTGTATTGTGTACAGTATATATTTTTCTTTTTTATAATAGTCTTCTGTAATGGTTCTGCCTATCGCTCTTCACTCAGACAAAACTTCAGGGAGTTTTATCTAATCCTGGAGTAATGGGGCAGGTTCTTAATTAGGAGGATAAGCCATTCCGTGGGGTGTCCCAGTTCAGAGGATTCTGTTGTGTAAGTTAAACACTTCCTGATGTTTTGTGGGCTAAGTTGTAGCAAATATTCTTAAACAGTTAGTTTGTGTAATAGCTGCATTTGGAGTGTGCAAAAATAAGTAACTCCGAAAGACAGCAATAGCCAGAAATTATAGAGGATTTAACAGAATTGTGATTCTGAAGATTTTATAAAAAAAAAAATCTCAGAAATTAACAAGAAGTGTCCCTTTTTTTTTTAGCGTCAACACAGCTCAGCAAAGAATAGAGAATAGATTTTTGACAGTTTCGTTTGAGACATGCATAATTTTTTGTTTTCCAGGAAAGACGCAAATGCTGCACTGCTGAGTAACTTTGAGGTAAGTTTATTTGTACCATGATTTTAAACTGACAATTTATACTCCTTTTGATGTCAATGAGAGCATGTCCTGGTCCAAATACAAATAATGTCTCCAGGGAGTTGTAACCAGGGAATCAAGGAGATTTGTGTATAACTTTTGATTTTTCACATTTGAATTTTTTGTTTTTGTAAGTTTGGTAAAATGGGGTCTATTCCTGGCTTTAAAGGGGACCTAGAAAAGCTCTTATTGTACTGTTTGCATGGTGAATATGAGCAGGGTTTGATCCCAAATCTGTGAAAAAACAAAAAAAACCCAAACCCAAATATTAGTGTTGTATGTGTGTCCTCAAATCCATGAGAAATAGTCCTTCAGAACATCAATAATTTTAATGATTATCTTTTCTCTTCTCCCACATTTTTATGTTACCAATTTGCTGAATACCCTTACTTTGTTTGTATGCAGTATTCATAACCTGGGGTCTGATTCTCTTTTACACCAGCTTTACATCTGGGCAACTGCCCTGGTTTCTTTGCAGTTATACTGTTCTCTCATCAGGCCCAAAATCTTTAAAGTTGTCAACTTTGTACCTGTGGAAAGTAGTGCCTAAATGGACATTTTTAAACCAGTCTTAAGACAGAAATGAATATACAGCCAAGAGAATGATACATGAAAATAAAAAATTAATCCTACAAAAAGTGGAAACATGGACAAATTACTAAGGATGAGTACAGAAGAATAGCGTGAGCATGTAGAGATACAATCACAAAGGCTAAGGCACAAATTGAGTTACTCCTAGAAAAGGACATAAAAGGCAATAAGAAGCGGTTCTATAAGTGAGTTAGGAGTGAGAGAAAGATGAAGGAAAGTGTAGGTCCACTACTCAGTGGGGAAGGAGAGTTAAGAATGCATGACATCAAGAAAGCTGAGGTGTTTAATGCCTATTTTACTTCATTCTTTGCTAATGAGGTTAATAGTGACCAGATACTTCACACAATTAATATTAACAACAAGGGGAAAGGTGCATAAGCCTGAACTGTGAAAGAACAGGTTAAAAAATGTTTAGATAAACTAGATGTATTCAAGTCAGCAGGGCCTGATGAAATTCACCCTAGGGTACTTAAGGAGCTAGCTGAAGCAATCTCAGAACTGTTAGCGATTATCTTTGAGAACTCTGGCGGACAGGTGAGGTCACAGATGTCCGGAGAAGAGCAAACACAGTACCTATCTTTAGAAAGAGGAACAAAGAGGATCCAAGCAATTATAAAGCAATCACCATAATATTAATACATGGAAAGATACTGGAACAAATTATTAAACAATCAGTTTGTAAGCACCTACAGGATAATAAAGCAATAAATAATAGCCAATGTGGATTTTCAAGAGTAGGTTGGTCTGGTATGATTTGACTGAGTTAGTGACCTAGTAGATGTGAGGGAACTATAGACATAATATATCTTGATTTTAGTAATGCTTTTGACACGGTCCCACATGACATTCTTGTAAGCAAACTGGGGAAATGTAGTCTAGATGAAATTACTATATGGTTGGTGCATAATTGGTTGAAAGACCGTACTCAAAGAGTATTTAATAATGGTTTACTATCAATCTGGGAGGACATAACTAGTGGGGTCAAATGGGGTCAGTCCTGGGTCCAGTTCTATTCAATATTTCATTAATGACTTGAATAACGGAGTGGAGAGTATGCTTATAAAATTTACGGATGACACCAAGCTGGGAGGGATTGCAAGCACTTCAAAGGACAGGATTGAAATTCAAAAGGATCTCCACAAATTGGAGAATTGGTCTTAATTCAGCAAGATGAAAGTCAAGAAAGACAAGTGCAAAGTACTACACATGGGAGGGAAAACTCAAATGCAGAACAACAAAATAGAATAACTGTCTAGGCCAGGGGTCGGCAACGTTCGGCACGCGGCTCGCCAGGGTAAGCACCTTAGCGGGCCGGGCCAGTTTATTTACCTGCTGACGCGGCAGGTTCGGCTGATCGCGGCCCCCACTCGCCGCGGTTTGCCGTCCCGGGCCAATGGGGGCGGCGGGAAGCGGCACGGGCGAGGGATGTGCTGGCCACTGCTTCCCGCCGCCCCCATTGGCCCAGGACGGCGAACCGCGGCCAGTGGGGGCCGCGATCAGCCGAACCTGCCTTGTCAGCAGGTAAATAAACTGGCCCGGCCCACTAGGGTGCTTACCCTGGCGAGCCGCGTGCCAAACGTTGCCGACCCCTGGTCTAAAGCAAGAGACATTTAGGTTTGATATTAGGAACAGCCTTTCAACTACAAGGATAGTTAAGTACTGAAACAGGCTTCCAAGGGTCGTTTTGAATCCCTGTTCTTAAAAACAGGTTAGACAAATACCTGTCAGGAATGGGCTTAGGTATACTTGTTCCTGCCTCAGCACGGGGCTGGACTAGATGACCTTTCAAGGTCCCTTCCAGCCCTACATTTCTGTGATCAACTGCTGAATCCATTTTCATGTTGCAGAGAAAAACAGAATTAGAACTGGAGGAAATCTTTGCAAAAAAAAAAAAAAAAAAATCCAGATGTTTCCTGAAACGGCTGCTGATAACAGGGTCACTATTTCATGCTTAACTTGAACCATCCTGCAGCTCAGAACTCTCTGCAGTACCTACTGAAATTAAAATCAGTTCTTTAAAAAAAAAAAGCTCTTTGTAAGTCTCTTGCAGCTTGGTTTTAAAAGATCTTGGAGTAAGTCGACACTACAGAAAAAATGTGTTTTCTTAACATGGTAAAATCTCAGTAATGGCAAATAGTTTGTTGTTTGGAAATGTGTTAGTGGGGCCAGGTAAACTCTAGAGGGAAGCCTAGGGTTTCCCTTGACCTGCTAACACATATGAGAACTACAACTGCCTTGTCTTCATTAAGATTTTACCATGTTAGCTAAGAAAACACCTTTTTTTTCTTAGTGAAGAGAAGGCCTTACTGAGCCTTTTTTACACTCTTCAGAGTGAAAATGCCTTTTTGGTGATGGTAAGATGGAAATGTGACCTTAGTATGAGGTGCAAATTCAATCAGGTAACTTGAGGATTTCAGTGCATTTTTTTTAAAGGCTTTAAAACCATACATTTTTCTTCAGATTATTTCCTTGCTGAAGTTTTAGGGTTATATATCCATTTCATCCTGATTTTGAGCTAAGTCTTGAAGTGTTTGACGAGGGCAGAGTATGCCACCTGTCAGTCATTAGAAGATCTTTAATGAAATATTTGGAAGGAATCTTATTGTTTAAGAAATAGAAAATAGCCCATGGTTTTATGTCAGAGGATGTAAGTGTGGTATTAAATATCTATTTAAAAAAATCTACCATCTCAGAATGGAAAGCAAGAAGTATGGAAGAAATTATGGCTTGCTGCAGAATCAGACCTTTCCAATACTTCTCTATATTCCTTTTCAACATGCAAGGATGTTATGGTAAAATTGGGTATGGATCCTACCTTTCATGTACAAGAAGTATTCTTGCATTGTGTAAATGTTCTGGCACCCCAGAACAAGGGCCCAGTGCAGTGACGTGCTGATCACTTTGCAAGATCGGACCCTTAATTATATGCACTAAATATCTGCACTTATTAAAACCACTTTCTGTCCCTCGGTCTGTGCCGTCATCATCTTAGCCTCAATGCCTCCCCACTATTGCCATATATACCCATATGTGCTGAGTGAGAAAGTGAAAGGAAGTGGAAAATGGAATTACTGATGAGACTGCTCATTCACCATTTCCCTTTCTCAGCATAGTTGTCTCAGCACATATAGCTTTTTAATTCTTTTCAGGAAGGGATTTGCAGTGTCTGCAGCTGTAGGCATTTTAAGCACATTTTTCAGCACTCTTCAGTTTACAGATTCCTCTAAAACTAGTATCCTATTTCTCTCGGGCTGCTATTTGTGCCTTCGTTTCTCTGTGTTGCAGCTTGACGAGAGTGTCTAACTCAGTCAGTGCCAAGCTAATATTTTGCACTAAAAATGTCTGAATGAAGCACAGGACTGTGAGTGGTTCTATCCCTGATTCTTTGAAAGATTTCCTTGGGCTAGTTGCTTCACCTGTTTGTGCCTCATTTTCATCATCTGCAAACAACACTTGCCCGGCTCAGTAGTGTATTGGTATGTACTGTGGTATACAGTTAGTGTGTTCACAGTGCATTGAGATCCTCAGGTGGCAGGTGCTAAATAGATGTGCAAAATTATAGGAAATGATATCCCACGTAGGATTGGGGCTAGTCATGTTTCTCTTGACCACAGTTAGAAAATGCCAACTAGTGTTGAAGGAACTGTGCTGCCGAAGATGAAGGCAGGGGGAATCTTGCACAATATGCTTTCTTCCCTATCTCCTTCTATAAGAGAAAATATTACAAAAGAGTAGTGCATTGGTTAGAATAAGTAAAGTGTAAATACAGCTCTAATTCACTTTCCCTCATTTAACCTGATATTTATTTGTATGTAGGTTTGTGGAATCAGTGTCCTCTTTCAAGGCCCAGTAATGGCAGAGTTACTGGTAACATTGCTCATCATATTTCATTGTAGTTTTATGAACCAATTTTTACAATAATTTTTACAAGGCCATGGGATTTATAAGTGAAACTTGAGTGGGGCGTGTTAAAAACTAAGGAAGCAGAAATAGAAGGGTGTCCATTACTTAGATTTTGTTATCAGCTTTGAACATATTGGGAGGCATGAGGTGAAGGCACTCACAATAAGTGCACAAGTAGCCAAGTTGTTCCCAGGCAATGCAATTGTAGTTTAATATGGATCTGTGGTTATGGATCCAGAATTTAAGGCAGCAAGCAGCATTGCTGTTAAAGTAAGTTTAAAAATTACAACAGACAATTCAGAAATGGGGCACGTAAGCAGTATTTATTTTTGGTCTATTGCAACCTTAAAAATAATACCATCTGCTACTCTGGGCCCAAATATAATGAGTACAGTATAAATGCTTAGATAGAGAAATACTGTTTTTTAACTAAATATTTAGAGAATTCTTTTTTAGACTTAAAATCTACTCCCTCTTCTGAGCTCATTAGTGACGCACCAGAATGCATTATTCCAGGACAATATATGCATCAGAAGAGACTCTTGGTATCAGGGCATGGAGACTCTTGGTATCAGTGATGACCCATAAGGATGCATTTTGTGGGGCTCTCTGTGAACACAGAACTTTCACAGAGTATAAAAGGAATTTTAAATAGATTATTTAAAACATTTCTGTACTGAATGCCTCCCACAGCCTGGCTGGGAGCACTTAAGCATGTGAACCACTGAAGCCTAAGTGCTTTGCTGCATTGGGGCCGAAAAGAGTAACAGAAGTTGTCTTTACATTTTACTACATTTCTGACTGTCATGCAAGAAGATGTAGCAACAGTGTAGTAGGTTTGTCAATACTTTATTTTAGAAACTGAAACATAATTTATTTTAAAAATTCTTATTACATAAAACATCAAATAGTTAATTTCATTCCTACAGTTTTGAGCATTCAAAAACGTGGAGACATCTTTATTACTCTTTTTTCAACAATATTGCTGCTTGTATTTATTTTTTCTAAGGAACTCATGTACTAATAAAATCTATTGAGGTTTTTATACCATACTTATCACTGTGGCATCTGAGCACCCTGCTAAGCTGATCCCAGAAATACTTACTATTAAGCATAGTGCTCACTGCAAGCAGCCCCACTGAAGTGAATTTATAGTAGCACCACTACACTTAGTCGTGTTTGCAGCATCAGACTCTAATTTTGTAGGCTCATTACAGAAACACAATTGTAGGGCACACATTCTTCTTGCACCTACAGCACACTTAAGTTTCTGTAAAACAGAATATTTTGAATATTTTTCTTTTAATATTGTAGGTTAATCCGTATACACACATTACATACTATAACATAGGGCCATATCCTGCAGCCGGTATTCCAGCAACAGTCACATTGATTTCAGTGGGAGTTTCAATTGAGAACTGCAGGGTGTGGCACATAGCCAGCAGTTGCACGGAATAGAGTTAAGTGGCTGATAAAAAGCAACAGAGGGTCCTGTGGCACCTTTAAGACTAACAGTGGCTGATAGTTTCATTCTGGTAACCACTTTTTCCATGGGGGCTTTTGGGTAAGGCTTCAACAAGTGCTGATAGTCCATTCAAATATCTACAGGCTTTGGTCCAACACTTCCTACATCTTTTTGTTCAACATACACCTCTACCCCGATATAACGAACACGAATTAGGATATAACGCGGTAAAGCAGCGCTCCGGGGGGGTGGGGATGCGCACTCTGGCGCATCAAAACAAGTTCGATATAGCGCGGTTTCACCTATAACGTGGTAAGATTTTTTGGCTCCTGAGGACAGCGTTAATATCGAGGTAGAGGTGTAATTCAAGACCAATAACCATAATTTAGAATGATCTGCTGTCTCATCATTTCTTGTATACAAATAATTTTTCCATTACCAAAATGTCTCCATTTTAATCCCACAGTCAGTCACTAGCAGTGCAATCTTTTGTAGTTGATTGGTAATATTTAATAACACATGTTTAAAAAATAGCAGTAGAAAAAATGCTAAACTAGTTCAAAAAAATCTTTTAATTTTTTTTTCTTTTTAGGTTTTCCAGTTACTTACCGATCTTAAGCAGCAGCGCAAAGATAGTGGAAAACACAAACAGAGCTCTGGCCAGCAGAATCTGAACACTATCATGTACGAAGTGAGTAGAGCTATAGCCCTTAGCACTCTAGCAGAAGTCAGAGGCTGGACTGTGTCACAGTGTTCATCATTTACAATCACACATGCAAAATTAAGTCTTGGAATTTTCCTACTCATGAACATTGTTTCAGTAAATACATATTTGACTTTTGTAATACAACTTTCCTCCCCAAAAAATCTGAAAGTGGTGCTTAAACTGTGTGCATACAGCACAACTGAAATACAGCTGGAAAGTGCTGGCTAGCTGGTGTGCACCATCATGGAGGAAAGGAGCAATTCTGGTCAAGGACACAAGGACAAACTCCTGCTCTTATGAAAATGGCCAAAGGATTTTTAATGTTTATAGCGAGCAGACAGGCTGTGGCTCTGGTTTTGAGGTGTCATTCAAAAGACCTCAACACAGCAAACTACATTCAATATATTTTTTAAGCCTGCCAGCACATGCTGCCTGTATTTGAATCTGTACTTCCAGGGAGGCTAGGAGTTTCAGACCTGAGGTTTAGAACACACATGGTCTATAGATTCCTCTGTTAAAAACAAGTAAATTAAATTCTCCAACTAAAAAAGAAACTACTATCTTGGATTACACAGTGTAACTAAATTATACATTCTGTCACTGGTAAATTCAGTATTAAATGTTTGATGTGTTGTTAGAAAAATCTTTAAAACTATTATTTACTGATCGTTAACATGATGGGATGGTTCTGAATATCTTAAATTAGCAGCTTTATCAAATGTAATTACTTAAAAAAATTGTAATCTGACCTCTGGTGGCAGTGGAAGAGAATTGTCTTTAATATCACGATGGTTAATACTGGGCCAGTTCCAGCTTTCCTGGCCTGCATGAATAGTCCCATTGACTGCTGGGGAACTATTCATGCGAGCAAAATTTCGTCCAGGCTTACTTTTTTTGTTTGTTTTTTGTTTGAAAGGACAAAATTGCAATTTATAAGCCTTAGATTTGATAAAATCGAGTTTACAAAAATCTAATTTAATTTTACATTGAGATTTACTATCTCATTCTGATGTGTTTCAAATATATGGGGGAAAAGACCATTCTGTGATTATATTTATGTCTAAACATAATTTACAGTTTAACTCTTTAATTATATTGTTGCCAGTATATGAAATGCTTTCACATGCATTTTGCCATCTAGACATTTATTTGTGCCAGTAGAAAGAGAGAGACTAATTCTAGGTGTACTTGCTTTAGGTACTCGTCTTAATGGAATTATTTCTGTCCATCACGCATACACACTCACAAGTTTTGTGCATGCATGTGCCCACTGGTATTGGAGTTGCTGGATCTATCTTAGTAAACAGGAACTGAATTTTGATGTGACCATAATATGACAATTTTGTCCTTTTAATTGATTTTTTTTAATGGAAGAAGCAGCAGAGTTTTGAAAAGAAATCATTATAGAATTGAAATAGCGCTGTATTCCTCTAATAGAAAATGGTATTTTAATGGGGAAATTGGTAAATAATAGTAATGTTTAGTACGTTTGTACTTTTTTATTTCAGAAAAATGCAAGAATTCTTTGGAATCCTGTTCTGATCCCAATTACTTATAGTGGGTGTTTTTCAAGCAATGCCCACAAAAGCTCATAAGTTATTGTCAAATTAAAAAGGGAGCTGTAAACTGTAGTCTGCATATACTTATTTAAAACTAAAGCAGGGATTCTTCACCAAGCCTTCCATTTAGTTAGGATGACAGGCTCGGATAAGTTGAAAGATGTATTATCTGTCATCTTGGATTCTCATTCATTTAAACAGAGAAACAAAACATAACATATCCTTTAAAGCATATGTTAGTGTAAAAGATCAACAGAGCAGGGAAGTGAATTATCTCACTGAAAATATCTGAATAAATTACTACAATATCCTTGCAAAGTTTTTTTTAATTGTGATCTGCATAAATAACTTCTGAGCTCTTTGGGAAAGCACTGTCAAATATGCTGATTACAGTACGCTTTCAGCTGTAAAAGATGAAAACACCCTTATGCTGAAGGCTTTGTTTCAGTTGTGGAGCTCAAATGAGCTATTTATGGCCTGGCAATGAGAGTACCATTGGCACTGAATTCATGAACACTTGGCAGAAAATAACTTTACGTGGTCCCAAGGATGAATACGATAAGGTTCTTCTTCAGTTCGGTTTTAACAACTGGATGCCTTTTTAAACAAGGTTTTGAAATCCTCTGTATTGTTAGAATTATACATATACAAAACATTCTAAATCTCTGATGATGTTAAAAATACCTTGGTCCCAATTTGATCTGCCAGTTAAGATTATTTCATTCAAATTAATAAAGAAAAAGTGTTACAGGAGAATACCCTTTGAACTGCATGTGTTCAAATGCTTAGCACTAAAAAAGGACCATTCATCCATACCCTTCAGTGCGCTTACAAATCTGGGTAGATATTATCCCCATTTTACAGATGGGCAAGTGAAGTTACAGGGAGGTCAAGTGATTGTCCAACACTACAGAGGGAACCCTCAGAGTTGGGTTAGAACATAGGAGTTCCTGTCTTTCAGCATTAGACCGTGTCTCTCTGTATGGACCAACTTCAGAAGGGTTTCCTAGATAAGTGCTGGCATAATTGCCATCACATAATTACTTTTTTATATACTGCCTGTTGCTTACACTTTCAGCAAAAATTAATATGATCTTTGTGAATCAAGGGAAATCCAAATGATTGTGCCAATTATGACAGCACATTCCACCTTCTGAATGACGTTAAAGAACTAAGTTCCCCAGTCAGACTTCTCTCAAAAGGAGTGAGGAGATTTTTCATAAAATAACTTGTTTCCTAGAGATCTCATATGACTCAAAGCAAAAATAAATGTGTAATAATCTATGTTTTTTTCCAACCTTGTGCAGACATTGAAATACATATCCAAAACACCATGCAGATTCCAAAGTCCTGAGATTGTGAGAGATTTCCTCATAGCAATGAAAGGCCATAAACTAACCAAGTAAGTAAAGATCTTCTTTTGAGTACAGGTCTGTCTCATCTTACGCTGTGGTTACGTTCCACAGTCAGCGCCTAAAGCGAAAATTATGTATAGTCAAAATTACATTGAGTGTAATGGTGGGTGGAATCGCCCGCACTACAGAAACAGTATTTAAATTGTTATTTTTCTCTTTTTGTTTTTTTTGTTTTTGCCGACTGCGTAAAGCTGAAATCGTGCATGTTAAATGCGCCTAAGATGTGACAGACCTGTATGTGTATAAGAGTGCATGAGAATATTCAAAACCAGCTCTACATAAAAATAATATAATAATTTGTCTGCTTTTGCTTAACTTGTCTAATCCAGTTCACGGAAAAATGAAGGACAAAATTAAAATTCTCTGTCTAACCATCCTTTTTTCTCAGATGAACACCTACACACATGCACATTTGCTTTAAATGGATGCTGTTTGCCAAAGTTTTCTCAAACTGTTTGCCTTATAGTGTTCAGCATGAGTTCTCATAGTCAAATGCAAAGAAGTATTAAAAAATATGTTTGCTGAGGTAGAAACTATGTGAGGTGGATGGATTTTCAGCAAAATAAAAAGGGACGCTAAGAAAAACCTCAGTGTGTTGAGTCATCTTGCTCATTTCTATCCTCAGAAAAATAACTCCATTCCTAAAAAAAAATTGATGTCTCCCCAGCAAAGAATAGGCATACTAGTGTGACTGAACATAAGGTCGCCATAGAGATGTCTGGGAAATGTGTAATCTGTTGAAGAAACTAATTCTTGCCTGAGTCTGTGAGTTGCGGATGCTCAGCAGCTTCCCAGAATTGTACCCTCTAATTAATTAATTAATGTTCAGCAAATTAAGATATTTCTTTTCCCCTCTCTGTTTTCCTTGGACACTAAAGTTGTATCCTCTGTGATTTCCAGGAAATCTGCATTCACTTGAATAAACACCCAGACAAGAGCCATAGTCTCTTCTGGGGAATTCAGAATGGAAGTTTGACTGGCTTCCCTCATACTTCCAACAAGCTTCAAAAACATTTTTTCTCTTAGGCATTAGTGTGAATGGGTATTCCTAGTGCCCGAAATGGCTAGGTCTCCTGCATACCTCATCAAACTGTGAGTGAAGCCTGTCAGAAATGTTCAGGCTCATGAGAACTGGGAGGAGTGAGTTAATTTTTCCCCTCTGCGTAGCTTTAATCTGTTATCTCTTTCCATCCTTCCTTTTTCAAACACAGCTTTTCACAAAGGCTCAGTTGTTTCTAACCCACTTGCTTAACACCACAAGGGAACAATGTACTCCACGTGGATTCTCTGACTACTTTTTTCTCCTCTGGAGATTCCATAAAGAAATCTTGCTCTGGGGAGAAGACTAATTTGGTTCTGTCCCAAAAAAACACATGTTAAGATTATCTGTCATGTACAGTACTACAAGGGAAATGCTTACTTCTTTGGAAACAGCAGTAAGTTGGGCAGAAAGAAAATCCATTCAAACCTTGTGTCTTGTGCCCAGAATGTTAGCAACACTTTGCGGATCATTTTGCATCACTCTCAGTGTTGACATTGAGGTACTAGTACTGAGAAGCCACCTGACTTTAACATCAATACTGTCATTTTTGCTTGTGCTGCTTTCATTCGTTTCAACTGTAGTCAACATTAATTGCCCAGATAGTATGCCAGCATTGTATCCTACAATGGAGTACTTTACATAGATCCTGTAAACCACATTCATGCAACAAAATTGAAAGCACTCTGGGGATTTCTGAGCAAATTACATAATCTAGGAGGACAGTTTCACCTTCAAGCATTCAGACAAGATCTCCTAATCCCTTCCAGGTCTGACACGGAAGTATTAGTGTGTATGAGAAGAGCCTTTACTATAAAGAGCTGACAAAGTGAAAGAGTTTTTCCTGAAATCCCCATGACAGTCATTTTCTTGTGTAGACAGCAAGCGTCACTGAATTATATACTGTACATTTCTCCCTGTGCTGAAATACAGGGTCAGTAGTTTGATATTGTGACTAGAGTTAGATGAGGGTGTGAGTTATCACCAGTCCTCTTTGCATTAGCAATAAATTGGGTGATGAAACAGACAACACAGTGCATTGTGGATGGTGTAAAATGAGTTAGCGGAGATGAGTTACATGATCTTGACTTCGCCGATGATACTGCTTTACTAAGTATGACATGGAACAAGAATGATTGCTCTTGCTTCCTATTCTACCTCTGATGTAACAAAAATGGGATTGAAAATAAATGTGGAGAAAATCAAGATTATGAAGGTAAGAAACTGGACAACAGATGCGAAAGTGTATGAGGATGGAAAAGAAATTAAACAGGTAAAAAGTGTTCTGCTATCTGGGCAGTGTAATGACATTTGAAGGTGTCTTTGATAAACATATTCCTGCAAGATGAGGAAAAGCAAACACCATGTTTTGAAAAGATGAACAACATCTGGTCAAACAGAAGTCTCCCCGTCAAACTAAAGAGAAGATGATACCATGTGAATGTGCTGAGCATGCTACTGTATGGAGTAGAGACTTGGCCAATGGCAGAGATCAGAGGCTTCCCATCACAGATGCCTGTGGAAGAGACAATACATTTTATAGAATAATAAAATAACAAATGTGAGAGGAAGGGAGCTGACAGAGCAGGACATGTTAGAAAATATCGTCAAAGAAAGAAGGTTCAGATGCTGGGAGAGGTACATCATATGGAAGATGGGAGACACACTAAGCAAACATTCAGCTGGATATTCGAGGGAGGAAAGAGAAAGTGAGAAAGGACAAGAAAGAACAGGCAGAAGACAGTGACAGGAGGATCTTGGATGTGCTGGGATCACCAGGGGAAAAGTACCATAACTGGCAAGTGATTTAGTCCGTGGAGGAACTGTACTGTCTGATGTGTCAATGGCACAGGAAGAACTAAGGTATGCAACTCAATAGAACTATGTGAGAATGAGAAACCCTTTTTCCATTTTATTGCACCTATTGAACACTAGGGGGAACTGTTATATAGCAGGTTACAAAGTAGCAGCCGTGTTAGTCTGTATCCGCAAAAAGAACAGGAGTACTTGTGACACCTTAGAGACTAACAAATTTATTTCAGCATAAGCTTTCGTGGGCTACAGCTCACTTCTTCAGATGCT